GAGGAGGAGGAGGAGGAAGAGGAGGAAGGAAGGAAGGAGCAGGGAGGGGAGGGGAGGCCGACACCTCAGACCCATCAACACCATTGTTCTCTGGTAGGCCGGTCCCGATCCCACACGAGCATTAGCATTAGCATTAGCATCTGTAACCCACAGGTCTGTGTCCTAACCATTAAGTTGTTATCAGAGTAAATCCTGTTCAACATGAGTCTGAAAACTAAATAAGTAGATAAATAATTTTCAACTTTAACACAGGCTCTGATAGGCCGGGATCGGGATAAAAAACCTGGATCGGGACATCCCTATTCTGCGTATCTTTCAGATTTCCAAAAGAAACCCAGAGAAAACAGCGTCTCTGTAAAGGACAAAGGGAGGGGCGGAGGGATGGGGGGGGCTCAAACCAACTTCTCCTCACTGGCCAGTAGAGGCCCACAGGAAGTGACCACAAACGGAAATTATGTCACTCACAAAGCCAAACGGAGGCTTTCCGGCTGAGAGAGGAACTTAAATATGAACTTACAGTGGGGGAAATAAGTATTTTACCCCTTGCTGATTTTGCAGGTTTGCCCACTTACAAAGAATGCAACGATCTATAACTTTAATCATATGTACATTCTAACAGTGAAAGACAGAATCCCAAAGAAAATTCCAGAAAATCACATCATAGGAATTTATAAATATTGATAACCGTCTGATGAGGAAAAATAAACATTCTTTGTAAGTGGGCAAACCTGCAAAATCAGCAAGGGGTCAAATACTTATTTCCCCCACTGTACATCTGAACTTATATCCACATGCAGGGCGACACAGACCACGTTTCCTCCGCGTTATTAGCCAAGTCTAGTTAGCTAAGTTTAGCTTAGCTAAGCTAAGCTAAGTCCACTCAGGAATTCAGCCGGCGGGGTCTCACCTGTGTGAGGGCGGAGCACTCCACGTACTTCACAGCCTTCAGGTCCCTGGCCAGCTTCTCGGCCGTCTCCGGGGTGATGGGCTTCTGCTTGTTCTTGGCCAGCTTCTCTATGGTGGAAGGGTCGTCCCGCAGGTCGATCTGGGTCCCGACTAGGAGGAAGGGCGTCTTTGGACAGTGGTGGGTGATCTCTGGGACCCACTGGGGGGAGACAAACACAGAGGGTCAAAAAAAGGCTGATCCCAATCCGATATCTGGATCGGCAGGAAAAAATGCAGATCCAGACTCCAGATCCAGTTTTTTTTGTTTAAGTCCAATCCCACAGGAGCATTAGTATTAGCATTAGCATCTGTGACCCACAGGTCTGTGTCCTAACCATTAAACCTGTAATGCCAAATGTATCATATTTGATTCATACGGTTTCTGAAATGTTTTGCGTCTGACACCTTTTGCATAATTTAATGGTAAAAACTTTGCTCAAAATCCTATTGTACACAATCAGATACACCTGATAACAGGGGGCAGAAGACTACACTAAAAATAATCTGGACTTATCGTATAGTAATAAATTGTTAATATTAAAATATTATTTTTATTTTTACATATTTTGTTAAAGGGCCAAATAAAGACTTAAAACAAAAAAAAGGTAATTTTCTGTTTTGTTTTATTCTTGGATCAGGCTTTAAAGGGTTCATTTGTTATCAGAGTAAATCCCTGTTCAACATGAGTCTGACAACTAAGTAAGTAGATAAATAACTCTAAACTTTAACACATGCTCTGATAGGCCGGGATCGGATTGGAAGTGGAAAAAAGCTGGATCGGGATATCTCTAATCAACAACTCGGGTTTCCTTTAGCGACACTGTTTCACAAGAACGCCAAAAACCCAGAAAGCATTCGTCCCTATTTCCGGGGAAGGTATCAATAACCTTCTATTTCTATCAATAAACTTCTAACCATCTATTTCACCGGCCTGTCCATGAAGTCCAAAATAAAGCTGGAATTTAGTCTGTTTTTTGGATTACCAGATCAAAACAACTCTAAACGCTAATCTAAATAGATTACAGAGGAATGAAAAAGACTGAGACTCACCTTTTCTTTGACATTTTCGAAGGAGGACGGGGACACGACGGAGAAACAGACGAGGAAGACGTCTGTCTGGGGGTAACTCAGAGGACGTAACCGGTCATAGTCTTCCTGACCTGGAGGACAGAAAACATAGCGTACGTTAGCTCTGGAAATTAGCCCGTTCAGAAGCTTCAAACCGGCCTTAGATTTCCCTCTACAGGTTTTAGCACATACCTGCTGTATCGAACAAGCCCAGGGTGTAGGGCTCCCCCCCGATCATTACAGTTACAGCATAGTTATCGAACACCTGGAACACACAAAGCAAAGCAACGGTTAGCGGACACCAGTCTCCAAACACTGCATTTCAACCCCCCAGAGCTCCAGAACCTCAGAGGAAGTCTGCTCTAAATGAGTCACTAATGTTTCTCACTCATATATTCACACACCACCGTGTCTAAAAGTGGGGTTTCTTTTAGGGATGTCCCGATCTTTTAGGGATGTCCCGATCCAGCTTTTTTCACTTTCAATCCGATCCCTCAGAGCATGTATTAAAGTCTAAAGTTATTTATCTACTTTCTTAGTTATCAGACTCACGTTGAACAGGGATCTACTCTGATAACAACTTAATGGTTAGGACACAGACCTGTGGGTCAGGAGATGCTAATGTGGTCTTAACCCGTACCTCTACCCCCCACAGCTCCTTCTGTAGTCCCTCTACATCTATCTCTATCTCACCACTGACTCTGATCAGGGTTTCTCCTCTGGATAGCTTATTGTCATAGTGATGATAAATGGAATATTGTGTCTACTCTGTAAGTCGCTTTGGATAAAAGCGTCTGCCAAATGCATAAACAGAAACATAGACATAATGCTAATGCTCATGTGGGATCGGACTTTTAAAAAAAAAAAACTGGATCTGGAGTCTGGATCTGCATTTTCTCCTGCCAACCGATACCCTTTTTTTTGCAAATATCGGCGGCTGATCCTATCCAGATATCGGATTGAGACGAGACTAGTCTCTTTAGTTGGAGCTCAGAGCTGTAACGTGGTCTGGGTCTGGTCTGGGTCCGGTCTGGGTCCGGGTCTGGTCCAGGCCTACGCACCGTTGGGACGTATTCGGAGGGGAACTTGTTTGTGGTGTATGAGATGAGCAGGCAGGTTTTTCCCACGGCTCCGTCGCCAACCACGACACACTTGATGGTCTGCATAGCTGTGTGAGACAGGCTTCACTACTCATTCAAGATCTGGAACAGAAGGACAGAAAACAAGCACACTCAGTCAGGGAGAGGGGCTGTAAAAGAGAGGAAAACTATAAAGGGAAAAGCCTACACAAGTATTAAAATGAGCCGATTACATCCTCCGACAGATGTGTTTATTTAGCCTCGATACACAGGTGAAAAACTAATCCAAACATTGTGTTTTCAGATAAAGAAACAAAGCCTATTTTTAGTAACCAACTTGAAATCTCACTGGATTATTAATCCAATGTTATAAAATCTTTTATTTACTTTGGACACATAGAATGACGACTTCTGAGACATTTTAAGGTAAAAAAAATAAATAAATAGATGGCACTTTCATTTTTCCAACAGTTGTTGGAAGCAATTTTCCATATAAATGGAAAATTGGAGGTTGACCTCAATCTAAAAACCAGAGGCCCGGTAAAAAAAATAAAAAATCATTATCTGCACGTTAGGCACGTTAATAGGCAGCTTAGTCCATTCTGTCAGTAATACACAACCTCTGGCTGAGGTGGGGGGGGGGGAGGACTAGATATGTTTCTAAATCCCAGATGTTCAGAGCCACATCTGGATACCCGGTTGGGACACTTAAAAAAACTATCCAAACTGAAATCGTTTAAACGTCCGTAATCATATTGCTGCACCATAGATCAGCATCCTTACATTGAATGGTCATAATAACGCATGGAAGAGACAAAAGTGCCACAGACTTCTAATCAATTGGACAGCAAACATTATTCAGAAAACTAAACGGGATCTTTAACTGTAATGAAGTGAAAAATAGACATATCAGTAACATCTCTGAAGGGAACTACTTTATAAACCACAGATCTGTGGTCAGTTGAGTTGAAGCCCGTCACTGTTACAGAATACTGATAGTTTAGTGGTTTGTAGAGAGAGAATAGAAAAAAAAAACTAACCTGTCATAAAGAAAAAAAAACCTGAGTGAATTAGATGACTAAATCTGCCTCATGGATTTTTCTCTCCAACCTGTACGCTTGACCCCTCTTTATAATCCAGAAATGCAGATTTGTAATAAAAAATGTGATCATAACTGTGCATCATCATTCCAGGAGCACAGACGAACCCACGCTGTTTTATTTCTGCTTGTTTCTGAGCAAAGATTAGGGTTTTCACGATACTAAAATGTCCAACTCGATACCGATACTCAGGAAAATATTCAATACCATTTTTGATACCACAAGGATAAAAACAAAGACCCCAAAATTTGACATTTTAGTGTCTTTGGTTTCAAACTGACCTATTACTGATGTTATCGTGGCCCACATTAATGAACCTGACCCTAACCCTAACCCTCAACCCTTCATAATTGTGAAAAATCTATATTTTTTGGTTAAACTTGTTTGAACTTATTGTACAATGTTGATCAATGTTGGCGTGTTATTATTAGCCATTAGCTGCAGATAGCAATTCAAGGCTAATGTCACGTTAATGATCATAAACAACGTAAATAAATAAATCCGAGAGAAGGGGGGGGTATCGATACTTTTTAAAATAAGTATCGTATCCGGATACAACATTTTAGTATCGATACTTTTTTGAGCATACACACTTTTGACAACCCTACTGGACACATTATTGATAGCTGCTCCAGGCGTAGACAAATGATGAGCTGTGATTAAATCGTTATTTCTAACGACACAGAGGAAACCTAAAGAACTAGGAAAACCACACACACACCAAAGGCTTAAACCAAGCCAAAGAAACACAGAAGATCACATAAATAATTCCTTATGTGACTTTAAATGTGTCCCACGGCAGAAATAACCGGTGGAAAACAGGCCAAAGAATAGATGTGAGGACAATAATAACCAGACAAAAACGAGCAGACTGACCTCAGACCGTGTAGCAGATAGTTAGCAAAATCAGGACCCTGTTTCCCCCCCCCCCCCCCAATTTGCCGGGGCAAACCCCCCCCAGCCCTGGGGGGGGGGCGGGGCGTCTGAAACCAAACTGCAGCCGGTTTAACAGACAGTCGGAGCTTTGATCCTCGTTTCCACAACACACACTCTCTCTGATTTATTTGTTTATTTATTTATGTTGTTTATGATCATTAACGTGACGTTAGCCTTGAATTGCTAGCTGTGGCTAATGACTAATAACAACACGCCAACATTAATCAAGTCTGCAGGAAGCCAAGGATGGATATCCAACTCCCCCACATCCAAGTCGGCCATTTTGATTAGGTCACCAATAGGCAAGAAAATCCTAATTGCTTCATGGCAATATAGACATTAATTTAAAAATAGTGAAATTAATCTTGCAAACACTGAATTAATTTCTATCCATAATATTATGTTAAAATAGTGTTTGTTAAATAGGTTTGTACAATAAGTCCAAACAAGTTTAACCCAGAAAATATTTATTTCTCACAATTATGAAGGTTGGAGGGTCAGGGTTAGGGTCAGGGTTAGGTTTAGGGGGTTAGGGTTACGGTTACGGGTTAAGGTTAGGGTCAGGGTTAGGGTCATTAATGTGGGTCACCATAACATCAGTAACAGGTCAGTTTGAAACAAAAAACACTAAAGTTAAATTATGGGGTCTTTCTTTTTATCCTTGTGGTATTGAGTATGGAATATTTTCCTGAGTATCGGTATCCAGTTGAACATTTTAGTATCGTGGCAACCCTACTGGACACAGAGAAAAGCATTTGTACGGCTATCATTTGTGGAAAAGCAGCTAAAACAATAAGCCGGTGAGGAAGGCTGAACCTCTGGACTCAGTGGAGGAAAAGGCCCAGAGGAGAGTTTTGTCCAAACTCACATCTATAATGGACAACACCTCTCACCCTCTGGATCAGACTGTAGAGGAGCCGAGAAGCTAATTTAGCTAAAGACTCAGACACCCTGTGTGTAAAAAGGAGGTCATTCATTCATTCCTGCTGCTACCAGACTATACGACTATACAGTGAACCGGCATTCTGATTGGCTAAACAGCTTCTTCTCTTCCTGCTTGCTAAATTTAAGTTTGCCAATTCTCTCGCAATTTCAAGTTTCTCTAAAACCTGTAATGTTGACAGAACGTTCTGCTCTGACAAAGGCACGAGCGGTCGGGCCAAAAGGAAGATGAAGAAGCTAACTATCAGAAAAAGTCAAACCTCTGGACATGCTAAAGGAAGGTAGAAGCTATGCGGCTTTAGGTCGCCATTACGGAATTAATGAATCTTCTATTCGTTCCATAAAGAAGGAGGAAAATAACAGGACGACGGCAGCAATTAGTTTGAATAAGGATAAGGAAGCCTTCAGTTTGTATTGATGATTAAAATTATTATTTTACAGTACAGTAGTTATCTATAAAAAATAAAAATAAAACGTTTATACAGTACTTTTATTTGTTAAACAAATGCTCGGGCCTGTAAAAAGGTTTTGTTCTTTGGTTTGAATGTATTATGGAGCATTTCATTGTTTAATAATTGTAAAAAAGTAAAGGTTACTACTTCACGGATTTCGCTTATCACGGGTTCTTTTTGGAACGTAACCCCCGCGAAAATATATATATATATATATATATATATATAAATGAATTTACAACTATAACAACTACTGTGCAATAACCTGTGCGATATGTATAATGTATATAAGCCATCCTGATTGTACGTATGTCACCTCAAATCTCTGTGTTACTCCATTGTATTCTTATTTATTTTTATTGTTTATACTTTACGCACCTTTTCTCCTTGTTTAAACCTTCTTTAATCACTAAACCGATGTGTGACCGGTGAATTTTTCCACTGTGAGATCAATAAAGCTTATCTTATCCTATTTTAAAATACGGTGCCGCACATCAACCAACAATTCCACTGTCCTGCGGGCCGATCGATGCCCCGATGTTCCATCACAAATCAGACGAAGAGCTGAACATTTTCCATGATATCAGCGTTTAACTCGGCCATGTTTACACGTTTACGATTGGAGTTTCATCTGAAGTGAGTTTTGGAGGATAAAAGTGAATCAAAATGTAGAAATATGCTATCTGGCTGGGACAAAACTCAACAAACACTGGACAGAGCTTCGACGTTAAAAAGAAACTTGAAATAGTGATACAGTTGGCTATTTTTTCCCCAATTCTACGCTAAACAGTGCAGTAGGCCGACAGCAGTGGGCAACAGAGGGAGGGTGCAGCTGTAATAACACTTAGACTTAATCCACGCTCTTGTGTTTGTAGGCCAGCAGGCACTTTGAGGACATGCCAAGCCGACTGGACCAAAGAAAGAGGCTGAGCTGGACTTTGATGCTTGGAGCTGATCGTGGGAAATACACAGTTTACTAAAGAAACAAATCTCATAAAAGCTGGAAAATTAGTAATAACCCACCAATTAAGCTCAACCGGAAATGACATTATTTTGAACACAGTTGAACATCACCATGTAGATTAACTCTTTATTTTGAGCCAACAGATGAAGGAAGAAGGACACGTTAAAAACTCTTTACAACTCAACTCAAATCCATCCATCATAACTATTCTACGCCCATTTAGTCACACAGATTTGGACTACTTTGAGCTTTATCTATAGCCTGACAAATCCCCGGTTGCATATCTACCAGTGATCGACATATACGTGTCTAATAATTATTTCTACATCTCAATAATGGTGCAAATGCCGACAGAAAAAGGACTGACCACTGACTGAATGAGCCTCAGCTGTTTAACTTCAGGTCGGCCTCAATCCGGCCTATTTCCTGCCAGCTGATAAAAAATACTTAACCAGACATATCTCGCAATTTAGACCCCCAAACCGAAGGTGTTTACGTCTCCCCCTTGACACCTCAAAGCCCCCTCCGTGTAGATTAGATCGAGGATACCGTCTTAATATTTGAGGGCAATTAAGCTAGCGCCAGTAGTATTCTCATCTGGTCCTCAACCAGCTAACCGTTAGCAGACAACTGGTTAAGTATGTCAATTCACCTGCTTAATTAAGAGTGTAAAAGAGTGAGACAGTATAAAATAAGTTATTCTTTTTTACGTTTGCTTACTAGGTATAGAATTACGGTTATTTACAGGTAAATATGTTAGCTTACTTGCTTTGCTAGCTAACTACAGTCCTCCCAATTTGCTATCAGGCTAAATGGCTCAGCCAACCCTAGCGGATGCCGTTTCTGAAAAGCCATCCAACTGGACTGTAAAAACCCAGACGCCGTATTTGATATTGTACAGACAATCCCGACACTTTTAAACTCCCCAATGGACAAAAACACTCCCCAAATACACAAAAAAAGACATTATTTTCCGTACCGTATTCTCTATTGAGTCTCGACACCGGGCGTTGGCAGCTCCGCGCTAGGGGCTTCCCAGTCACTTCAACAGGGGCACGTTTGCGTGCCCAGTCCTACGTCATCACGTCGATCGATTTCCCCGTAGGCAGTTTGTTCAATGACTGAGTTGGTATGTAGTTTCGGTTAAGACCATTTAAAAAACATTTCCTGACGTGTAACATTGTTGGATAGACGTCAAATTATACTATGTGCTGACGAATTGAATTGAACAGCTTTTATATGTCCTTTCAAAATACCGTTTACACAAGAAAATGGACAAAGTGAGCAAATTTGTCACCACCCTGTTGCAACTGAAAAACTAACAGCTTTAATATTTGTGACATACAAATCCCTTTTGCCCTGTTTTACTATATTTGGAGCAGTGGATTTGACCTATATATGTGTACTCTGCGTTTATGCAGTCTGCAACTAGAGGGCAGTGCAGACCAATGACCCACATCCACAAACAACTGGATCAGACATTTAGAGGAATAAATTCACACCTATATGGAAAAAAAAAACTTTATTCTCAAAGTGGACCATGTGGCAAAGAGAAAAAAATATCCATGTCACACAAAAACAAACATACTCAACGATAAAAAGGAAGAAAAAAAGACTGTAGACATCTTCAGTGTTACTAGGTGGTCACACTCTGCAGTAGGGTGATGTTGTCTCCTTTCAACATGATCCTCCCTGGGAGAGATTAAAATAAAGAGTTGAAGTTAACATCAAATGGAGGCTACTCAGAGCATCCAGATGAATTATGTAAAGATACAAATGTTTGAGGAACCATCAACTCTCCTCATGATAAACATAAGCACGTATTCTTCATATCAAACCACAAGCAAAGCCACAAGAAGAAATAAAAATAGAGCCATCATTATTATCATTTATATATCATTCAGTGCGAATTCAAATTTAAAATTCAGTCCTGAAATACAGGAACTCTCCACCAGAGTTAAAAAAAAAAAAAGCAAAACATCATACATGTTTATGTTACTGTTAAATGAATCTGGAGTTGAAATTTAAGAATGGAAATATTCAAATCAAAACCACCTTTTTGATTCAAGTCCGGATAAAAGAATCTGCTTTTCAGAGCAAATAATTACAAGTAAAATGCTGCTTCCAACATCAACCATCTGAAGTGGCACCATTTCCACTAAGAGATTCCTTGGCTTTCGGATGGTTTGAACCATGATTATTTATTACTGTGGTATCCTCTCCTCCCAGACTTGGATAGAAGAGCTCATCACAAACCTGATCCTCGGAAAATTGGTACTGTTCCCGTTTGGCCATTTAAATACCAAACCAAGGAAACTTAGTTCTATCAGAGTGTGCCTGCTAACAGAAAACTATTACAGAATTTACTTCTGTCATTTGTAAGAGAGGGGAGGAGGAACCAGAGTCAAATTTGTTTATTTATTATTAAGATCCCCATTAGCTGTGCTTTACTCTTCCTGGGGTCCACATCATTAAAAATACAGTATACGATGTAAATTCATGAACATGTTTGACAGATAAAAAATATCATATACATATCAATAAGACTGAGCATTCATAGAAAAGGGGAAAGTTACAATTTAAACTTGTAACATTTTATGAATAAGTTACAATAAATTAGAATATAATATATATATTTCATTTATACATAAGTTGCTCCTAAAAACTTCTTAAGTTGCATTTTAAAAGCAGAGTTATGTACAATTTTTATGAGAATTAATGGAAATGAGTTCCATTCTTTCATTGCTCTGTTAGTAAAGGTGCATTTGAGAAAATTAGTTTTCGCCCTAAGAATTACAAATCGGGGTTAAAGTCTGCAGTCTTTTGTGATCCCACTGGTCTACTGTTGTCCTAGAGTTAATTATACAGAAAAAACTAAAAACATGGCATAATACAATGTTAACTCACCCAGAGGCTTTCTGTTCTTAGTCTTCATGTGGACCTCCTCAGCATCATCCAGCACCAGGTTCATGTACTCATCGAAACCCTGAAACAGTAATAAGTTTCATTTAGGCATCTCTCCCAAAAATCTGATTTTCTGAGGCGTTTTTTTTGCTGTATAGATCGTTTTAACTCGGTATCCCAAAATCATAATGCGATTCTATATGCTTATAAGAGTCAAGTCTTTCCCTTTGTAACCACTGGGTTTTCCCCTTCTGGAATCAAAACTAAAGCATGGGCAGCTTACAGTAGTCCTATGGACCTAAACACCCCTCTTTCAGGGTTACCCGTCTCACAATGGACTCCCTGATTAATGCTCTTCTTATACTTACTGTACCCTGAGAGACTGTCAAAGTTTATTGTTTCTAGCACTTTGTATAATATGACCCAACCTTGACTCGTACTTCCCCACCACCTGTTTGGAGAGTTATATGCTTTTCTTGCTTGATAATGCCTTTTAATTAGTGGGGTTGCTAATTCTTTTGCAGAATATAACTGCATAACTGAACTGAGATCAGGGGACACAAAATGTTTGCACTCAGTTGTGCTTTGATAAACTTTTAAAGTGGATTCTGAAGGTAATTGGTGATAGCTGACACCTTATTTAGAGACTTGACAGCAAATATGAACACACCAATGTTCAGCATATATGTAAAAATACTCCCCATCCTATCATGTACAACTTAAATGTTGACAGATTACATAAATATTAGGGATGTCCCGATCTTCCAATCCGATCCCGGCCTATCAGAGCATGTGTTAAAGTCTAAAGTTATTTATCTACTTACTTAGTTGTCAGACTCATGTTGAACAGGGATTTACTCTGATAACAACTTAATGGTTAGGACACAGACCTGTGGGTCAGGAGATGCTAATGCTCGTGTGGGATCGGACTTTAAATAAATAAACTGGATCTGCATTTTCTCCAGCCGGCCGATATGCGCTTTTTTTTTGCAAATATCCAGATATCAGATCGGGACAAGCCTAATAAATATTAAGAAAAAATCCATACAATCTGTTTAATAAACAGTCGTCAGGTTGCACCTCACGTTGCAACCATGCATAAATTAGTTGTTCACACTACACTTGTGGAAAGTCAAATAAAAGCAGCAAAAACTTTTCTTTAAACTCACAATAATGCAGCCCTCTATCCGCATGTTGACCTGCTCGTACAGCCACACCTGGATTCTGGAGCGCTGGGAACCAAAAGCAGAACCAATTAGAATCATACTGTACTGTACCATTATAGAAAATTTGAGTCTTAGCAAAAGTGTTAAATACTTACATTTTGAAGGTACCTAAAAATTAGGTTCTGGGACATAGAGTCAAGGAAATCAAAGTGTACATGTTTGCATTATTTTTCCCCTTTAAATGGACCATTAGAGGTATAATTACTGTGTAATTAAGTAAAATACATCAGCTGCACCCCCTTTATGATCAAGCAACATAAATGCAAAAATATAAGCATCAAAGACATATTTGATTATTTCACTTAATCCTTCTGAATTCTAATGCAAGAAGCCTCAAGAAGAATAACAGAAAAAAGGCATAATACTAAGATTTACAACACTATACAGCTCATTAAAAGCAGTTAAGCCGATGTTATAAATATAAATGGAAAATACACGCATTTAGATTTCACCTCA